GTCCAAGTTCCGCTCGATACGTAGGGTGATGGTCCTGAGTGCTTGTCACACTTAGGTAGGATAGTAGGGATAGGGGATGCGCTAGGAGTATTGACACGAGGATGGGATGGGTGGTGGCCTCATCTCCTCAGAGCGAGCACGGCTGACCGTTTCCGGCGATCAATGTGTGCCTAGTAACTGGCCTCTTCAACACCCTGGACTTCATATATAAAAAAAACAGGAAAAAAAAAAGAAAAGAAAAGAAAAGAAAAAAAAAACAGGAAAAAGGGATGGATTGTGTGACCCCTCGGCCAGTATAATCGCATTCCTAGAGCAGGCTGAGACTGTGTCCTTTCAGTTTTGTGACGTCCAGGGGTGTGCTGTGTGACTGGGAAGTGCCGTATCATCCCAAATTGGCTCACATATAATTTGCTATTGTACGTGCTAGTGTGAGTATGCCCTGAGAAGCTTTTTCTGCCGCTCTMTTCAGAGGGAGGAAGTTTCGCATGGCTCCAAAAATCCCTTACAATTCCACATGAACGTCTCTAAAAATTCAGTTTTCTGCCTCAGCTATTCTGAAACACAGCCAATTTAAAATTTCTGAAATGCGGAGACTGAACCGCATTTTTCTAGAGTTATCCCTTTTTTCATTTTCAGGAAGATTGTGCACTTCATCTAACTTGGAACWACAGAGGCTGGGAATCCTCACAAACAACCTGGGAGTACTGGGGCCAATACCAGCCTAGGCTATTGCTGGAAACCGCGTCCAGGGTCCCACGTCTTTCCGCACCAAGCCAATCTTCCCRAAGTACCGTCTTGAACCCAACTGGCCTAGCTCAGTTTCTACACCATTGWRCACATGAAATACAGACCAATTGCAGAGTTCGAGCTTCAGTGGAAGCAGATCAGTGAAATACTGCATTTCTCAATTACCTACTACGGTTGGTCAGTTCAGATGATGATATCGCAAGTCATTAGCATCATTCCGTCATCATCATCATCATCATCATCGTCATCATCGTTCTCACTTATTATCATTGGTATCTCTTCCTCACCATCGTCCTGCTCTGTTCAGAATCGTTCCCATGGTTATCTTCATGACACGCACACGCACACACACATACACACACCCACATACATAGATCTCTCTCTCTCTCTCTCTCTCTCTCTCTCTCTCTCTCTCTCTCTCACACACACACACACACACACACACACACACGCAAACACACACACACACCCGCGCGCGCACACGCACACACACGCACGCACGCCCGCGCGCGCGTCTGCGCGTGCACATACACATATAGCGCACATGAGAACGCACGCCCACACACGCCACGCACGCACTCGCTCACACACGCCCACGCCCACGCACACATACCCACCCACACATACCCACGCACTCGAAGAGGGACAGGGAGAGGGGGAGGGGGAGAGGGCCTGTTACATGTCGWRCACTTCTGGTGAAGCCTAATGACGACGCCCGCACGCACATACCCTAATCTCAGGCGACACAAGAGAACCCATACGGCTGTCTATCATTTATAATTTGTCTGTATAGCCAGCAACCTATTGACCCACATTGTCATGGACTTATGTTCTGCATTATCTGTCGATAAATCAAATCGTCCATCAGTGAATCCAGCCCGGCCTCTTCTGTCTTACTGCATCCTGAGCTGCTCCTATGACTGCATATAGAACCCAAGATTCTCGAAAACTCTACTTCGACAAACCCCAGACCGCGGGTCCCTCGCCGGCTCTTCTGCTGTTTCCGGCCCTCCTGTTTATGGGCCCTAATATTCTAACGGACCTAAAGATGAGACTACCTGAAACCACTCACAAATTTCATTTACAAACAGCTACGATTATGCGCACGAATGCACACCCGCACACTCACGCACGCGCTCGCCGGCGTGCTCATCGACAAATGCAAATTTACTCATAGATAGGTCTAATTGAGTAACCCTGTGACGAAACAGAGTGCCACCTTTCCTCGTCCCTTGGTCCAGCCCCTCCTTCCCTTGTCTATGCTGATATCGAACATTCAACAGGAGAGCAACTAAGGAGGGTATGAATGGTAATTGATCGGGGCAGTTTCCCACTCGTCGGCCCAACTCTCAACTAATGCCCTGGGCCGCCCAAGCCCTCGACAGGTTGCAGACTTCCGCGCCGATGTCTTCAGCGATAATCCACTTGGAGTCTTGGACTACAAGCTGAGGGATGGGACGAATATTACTCTCGAGCATTCACGTGACAGCCGAAGGTATACTTCGAGGCCGTAGACTATCTCTAACAAGTTCCGTTCAATTTTACCCGAACGAAAACCCAAAGCTCTATCTTTACTTCCATACATTAAAAAAGCGACTTCTCGACGAAAAGCCCACGCTTTCAAAAAAAAAAAAAAAGAAAAAAAAAGCCCACGCTTTACGCACTGGAAGTGCAGGCGATGAATCAAACAGCACTAACGGAATTCTTAGTAGCGTGTCCCCGAGAACCATCCTCAGGCAGGAATGCATCATCCGTTTCGAATATATATACATTACATGGCTCCTTGCCATCCGATCTGAAAATCTCACGGCCCTACCAGTAGTGTGACCACGTTAGAAAATACACGAAACATAAACTAAMCCCCCGCCAGTGGGACACGGCCCCTGGACTCCACGTAGCGCTCGGTTACCTTCATGATTAGGGTGCGTCCCGTTCGGGGGAAGACAGTCGGTATCCCGATAACTTTTCGAGACTGCCGATTTAAATAACTCGGAGAAGGGGGCCGATTCGAAAAACAGCGAAAAAAAAAAAAAAAAAAAAAAACTCAGCGAAGGCATGGCACCTTGACCATGCCGGACTCTCCGTCCTTCTGTTCCGACACCTGGACTTTCCGTCCGTACTTGGCTGTCTGAACAACAAGACAACAAAGCAGACCGTTTCCATCGCCTTATGGCAGTTCGCCTTCCGTCACCAAGTAGCCTATCTATGTGCCCTGCCCCTTACCTTTGCGTCTGACAGGAAACTACCCAGCCTCTCGGCGGCCGTACTCATCGTTGGCCTGGAGCTGTCGACCTCCTCGACGCAGTCCCGCGCCAGCACCAGCGTGCCCACCACCATTCTTCTCATAACAGCATCGGTCCGCACCTGGTCTCGCAGACACGTGTCGAGAATCTCGATCGGTATGGTGTCAAGATCAAGAGGACCTYCTAGCGACGGTCTCGCCCACTGCACCAACGTCYGCCATTCTCCGCCTGGTGGTGGTCCCGGCGTGATCGCCTTCCTACCCGTCAGCAGCTCCAGGAGGATAACGCCAAAAGCGTACACGTCGTTCTTGACCGTCAGCTTGCCTCTCAGCTGGTACTCCGGCGCCATGTAGCCTTSGGTACCTGCCACGTGGCTTGTCAGCGCAATAGTCCCGAATTGCGTATCGAAGAGGTTGTCACACATCCTCGCCAGTCCGAAATCGGCGACGACAGCGCGCAGATTCGCCCCCGATCCATCTTCCAGAAGAACGTTGCTGCTCTTGATATCCCTGTGAATGATCGGGGGCTCCACATCCGTGTGAAGATAGCGGAGACCCTTGGCGATCTGAAAGGCCACACACATRCGCTCCACTAGCGTAAGAGGAGGAGGAGCAGGAGCACCGGATGCTGTTCCAGGAGTGGCATCTCTTTTGTGCAAGCGACCGGAGAGACYGCCGCCCCGGAAGTAGGGGTATACAAGGATGCACGTATTCCCTTCCTGACAGTAACCTATGAGGTCGATGAGATTGGAGTGATGGAGCCTGCTCAATGTGCTCACTTCGACGACGAATTGCTTTCGCTTCTCCGCCGTCACGCCGCCCCTCATCACCTTGATAGCGACCTCCCTGTCGCTAAGAGCCCCCCAGTAGACATCGCCAAAAGCACCTTTGTCTCCCATGCGATAATCATCACCGAAATTGCCAGTGACGAGCGCCAGGGTTTCCAGCGGGAACGAGGTCACGCTGAAGGGCTGAACGTCCTGGACGCGCTCATGGCCGCTCGATGCTCCCTTGCGAGAATCATCGGGCAGTGAACTACCGGCTAGGGAGGAATAAGACAAACTGGGAGGGGCAGGTTGGTACTGTCCAAGCGGCGGGAGCGCCGCGCCTTCCCGCCGCTCCCGACTTTCCAGCGGCTTTCGACTTTCCCGCCTCCGATAGCAGAAGAGACCGACCAGGAGGCCCGCGCAGATGGCAAAGCCTGACACAATGGCCACGGGCAGATAGACAGCTAGAGCTCGATTTCGACCGCTTTTGGCATGCTGAGCGGACACCGGTGGTTTATCGGATGGCGGGGGAGAGGATGATGAGCTTGCGGGAGAAGGATAAGAAGATTGGGGAGGGGGAGGGCTCCTAGAGGGCGGTGGTGGTCGGGAGGGCGGGGGGCATGCGTGCAGGGCGGACTTTTTTACTTCCAGCTCGAACACGTGTCCGTCATTCGTTCCAATGTACAGGCCAACCCCGTTGTCATCCTCCTGGATCGCCAAACCCCAGAACCCGCCTGCGATATAAGACACGACGACACCCGCCGTTTGCGCTTCGCTGCACTGCGCTTTTAACTGAATCCATCGCAAATAACCGYSAATGTCAKTAACGAAAACATTGCACCCGTCCTTCGTTACCAMAACMTCTCTCAATCGGCCCTTSTCTCCCTCCATAAKACCAACTGCTTTMCTGTCAGCGACAAGAGTTATGTTCCTCGTCGACAGATCGACGGCAAAGATACTATTCTCYGCCCTGTCGACGACGTACAGGCAACTACCATCAGGAGTGAATCCTTGCGGACGTACGAACAAGTTGGAGAGGTTCAATCCCATTTCGCGAGGGAAGGTGGCTTCTGGCTTGAACAACATGTCACCTGTAATGCTGGCACCATTCCCCAGCAGAGCTCCGAAGTCTGCAGACATCAGACGCGGCGGATAGGCCATATCCACAAGGTAGGCGTTGGTCTTCGTCGGATCGAACCCCATGCCACGAGCGGCCATCCCCGGCAGGGGGAGCGATCGCCTAGTGCCATTCACAGCAGAGAGCAAGGTTACCATCGAGSTTTKCTTCTCAAGCCGGTTGCCSAAGGCCTCATKTGTTYCAGTCGTTAGCACCAAAGTCGTCCCTTCGTCGGACAAGTCCATGCCAATCAGCCMCATCATCGKCTCCATTGTCGAGTTCTCGTTGAAGATGATTGGCGACGAGGGTCTCATCCCATCGCTATCGTTAAACGCCCACCAGTAAGTAATAAGCGAATCGTTCTGGAAGGCTTCCCATCCCCCTGACCCTGCCCTCCGTTCAGCCTTCCGTACGGAGTACAGCCAACTCGACGYGAACTCCTCCGAGTCGGACCCGTTCAACTGACTGTAGCACCGCTGGTCGAGAACATAATACAAGACAGAGCCATTGGATGCGAGCMCCARGTCTTCGAGGRSGTTATWGCASYCGRCCAAATCGAACGAGTTGCTGATCGACGCGGGAAACACCGGCTTCAGTGTCGAGTCTGTCAAAGTGAGCACCTTCGTCTTGTTCACTATCAGCTCAGGATCGCGGATCGTTGGCAGTACTGTGGCGTCGCTAACTTTCAGAGACCTTGAGTTGTACGTCCTCTGTTCAAGAKAAGCGGAACCAGTTCGATGACCGTGGGAGTTACTACCCCCATGCCGCCAAGCACGGATGCGGTTCTCACACCCGTTGCCAGCACTCCGACACCTGTCCTCCCGGTGCCAGCTGCTCACTGCACGCCACCCGTACCCCGCACCTTGGAACGCACTGAGCACAGTCGCAACGACCAAAAGCGTCACCATCAGCACCGTCATCAACACTRACGCTCGACAGAGTACGCGCGAAACACAGTCCCCATAATGGGKTGGTGGTGTCTCCTCATATTCTCTACTACGCCAGAACTCCATAGTCGCAGACTTGKCACGTTGGAACAATTTCCGCACTCACTCCAACACATTTGCTCCCCGTGCCAGTTGCTCACAGCGTGCCACGCGTAAGCCGCATCTACGCAGGRACTGAGGCCCAACGCAACGACCCAAAGCATCACCATCAGCACCGTCATCAACACTTCTGTTTCTTTTCTAAAAGGGAGACAGGCTTGAGATATCATCGTTGAACTAACTGGCCCCAGGGGCCAAGTCCCACCAACAGCGTTGAGTTACCTCAACGCCTGAATCTGGATGTGTTTCTTTGTGGAGAGGTGCTGCGGAGGAAACGTAAAGCAATTTTTGCACATCTCCACCAAAACGTCCAGATTCAGGTGTTGGAGCAATGCTTATGTGGGACCTGGCCCTGGGTAATTCAGAAATTATTTTGTCATTCATCTGCACGGGCACACTCACACTACCACGTGTTTTCGCAAAATTTTATGTAGTTTTTCGGGTCACAAAAGGCACGTATTTTGCGTGTTCACACAAAAGGGCACGTGAATGTCAGCGTCCTCGACAGGCGTGGCAGTTGAGTGACCCAAATCCTGCAGTGCAGTACTGGTGATCCCACGGTCAGTATTTTACATGTATTACCCGAAAAAGTAAGGAGATCTTCCTTCCCCTCCTCCTCTCCTTGACAGTCGGCATGCCCGTGCAAAGGAAGCTTACCCCCAAAATCTTTTCAATCCGTTGGGGGCACGGCCAACCCCAAAAGAGAACAGGGTTGGCCATAGGCCCACTGGATAGAAGATTTTCAGCATTTTGCTTCCTGTTGTGCAATTATGGGGCTCGTTAGACACTCCTTGGGGCGTCCTCGGGGCCGAAGGAAGTTTCCTTGGGGGTTTTCAAGGAAATTCCCGCCATCATTCGACACTCCTTGGGGCGTCCTCGGGGCCGAAGGAAGTTTCCTTGGGGGTTTTCAAGGAAATTCCCGTCCTCGGGGCCGAAAGAAGTTTCCTTGGGGGTTTTCAAGGAAATTCCCGCCATCATTCCACCTGTCCTCCGGGACGTCGCCCAAGGACATTTCCTTCGAACGATGTCCGACAAGACAAAAGAAAAGGAAAAAAAAATCAAATGTGTTTGAGGCCTTCAGCCAATAGGGTGCCGCCACGATCCAGATTCTCRGTTGTAACGTCTCTCTACCCATGTGCCCGCTCCTCTCCGTGAAACRCGGATTCCTTTTGCCCAAGGGAACTCGTGAGGTCCCTTGTGCAAAAGGAAGAAATGGCTGGGGAATCCTCGGAGCCCAAGGAATTTCCTTCGGAGTGTTTTCACTTTTTCTTTTCCGACTGCATCCCCGAGGATAGGTGGAACGAACGATTCCTCAGGGACTTCACGCGCCCGAGGAGTGTCGAAAGAGCCCCTATCTCATAGGATGGAGCCCTCCTTCAATCACGGAGTATATGGCTCAGGGTGTCACCACGCTKCTATATAAAAAAGGAGACAGAGCAGAGGTCYGAAATTACCGGCCAATCACACTGCTGAAATGGTATTCACCAGTTCRCAGTAGCGAATGCAGATCCCAGGGCTCGATCCCTCGTTCCCCATCTTACCTGTGTACAGTATTGATGTCAACCCGTAGATTTGAACCTGCGACCTGTAGGATCGTCAGTGGTAGGTAGACTTTCGTAGSTCACAGGGTAGGAGGGATTCGAACTGTAGACTTGTAGGGTAGGAGTCTMAACAGTTCAGAGGTCGTAGCTGTAGACTGCCTGAAGAGTCAAGGTCGTAGCTGTTACTTACCTGAAAGGGCAAAGTCGTAGCTGCTACAGTACCGAAAGGCCAAGTTAGAGATTTTTAGAAGTGGCCTTTCGGAGTTAGCCTGCGTTGAGCAGAGGCAAGTGGTGGTAGTCCACCTAGTACAGTCAGCAGTCCCAGTTAACCCAGTCCGGTCCAGTCAAGCAAGTACCGTCTGGGACTGTGCACACCTTGGGCCACGGGATACAGGGCAGACCAATGCATCACAGAAGTATAAAGCAAGAGGCTGCGCCCAGCCATTCATTCATGCGGAAGCCATGCGGAAGCGCTGCTTCAGCGTCTTGTGCAAGGAGGTCTGTAGGAGGCCCGAAGACGAAGTGGGCGAGAACGAAGTAGTGTAGCGATAGCAATAGGTAGTTGCAGCCATAGCTGTCGTAGCTTAGCCTAGAGTGCAGTGTGTGTGAACTGTGTGCGTGTTCAAAGTGTTGTGTGTGGGACATCCAGGGTGATCCAGAGTGCGAACAGTCAGTTGTGTGGGCGCACAACCGCCATAGCCAGTTGGAAGAGAACTCTTATCTGGTTACGATATCTTGGAGTGTTGTGTGGGCGCATGTCGCCGGTTTGCTGTATCGCTGTTTGCATGCATGACAAGTGTGAATAAGTCGAGTCTGATTGCACTGGTATCAGAGCAGGTACCCGCTGTTCCACGCGCCGTCGTGTGTAAGGCCGATGTGCCATAGCTGAGGTGGTGACCGAAGGAGGCAGTCCGCCATAGCGGACCTCAGGTTGACGAAGCCGCCGCGCACCTGCAACAACAGGACCACGACGAAGGAGAAGGCTGAGAGAGAGAGAGAGAGAGAGAGAGAGAGAGAGAGAGAGAGAGAGAGAGAGAGAGAGAGAGAGAGAG